AACCGGTAACATTTAGCACACGTTTAAACCATCTCCGATTTCCTGCAAAACAGTTATTGTACAATGTCTACTGCTTAACACTCAACTGTTAGAATGTTAATGTATGCTTGAATTCTGTATAAAATGGCTGCTACACCTTGTTATCCCAGATTCTCCAGCATCTGCTCCTATGATGCTGCTTGGCCTGCTGTGTTCATCCAGCCCTGCACCTTGTTATCTGCAGTTCCTACTATCTCTGGAATAAAGGACTGCTTCCCACCTTGCACAATCAACTCCCAGAAGTCTTGTAGTCCCTTTGCCTCGACATGAGCTTTAAGGGTTTTCAGTGACACGTTGAAGAATTTGGATTCTCCAGCCTGGAAATAAATTAACAGGGAACAGCTTTAGTTTAGAAATGCAGTTTCCATGTTACCAACGAGAGAATAGCCATCCTAGACTGGATATTATGTAATGAGAAAGGAACAACTGGCAATCTAATTGGCACTTCTGAGGCCCCACGGGGATGAGCAACCATAATATGATAGAGTTTCTTATCAAGATGGAGAATGACGTAGTTGATTCTGAGACTAGAGTTCTGAATCTAAACAAAGGAAACTGTAATGCTATGAGGTGCGTGTTGGCTATGATGGACTGGAGTTGTTAAGGGATAATGGTGGAATGGCAATGCTAAACATTCAAATAGCACATAGGTGAACCACAGCAATTGTTCATTCCTATCTGGCACAAAAGTAAAATGGGTAAGGTTGTCAAACAATGGCTTACAAGTGAAATAAGAGATGGTATTAGATCCAAGGAACAGTCATATAAATTGACTAGAAAAAAAACGACTTGACAAGTGGGAGCAATTCAGAATTCAGCAAAGAAGAACAAAGGGATTGATTAATAAAAGGGAAAATAGAGTACAAGAATAAGCTGAGTTCTGAGGAAGGGTCACTGGACCCAAAACGTTAACTCTGTTTTCTCCTCCACAGATGCTGCCAGACCTGTTGAGCTTTTCCAGCAACCTTGTTTTTGTACAAGAATAAGCTTGTGGGTAACATAAAAACTGACTAAGAATTTCTATAGAATTTCTCTGTGAACAGAAAAAGATTGGTGAAAACAAATGTAGATTCCTTACAGCCAGAAATGGGGATTTTATAATAGGGAAGAAAGAAATGCAGACCAACTAAATACATACTTTGGTTCAGTGTTCACAAAGGAAGAAACAAAATCTTCCAGAAATGCTGGAGAACATAGGACTTAATGAGAGGGAGGAAATGAAGTAAACCAGCATCAGTAGGGAAATGGTGTTGGGGAAATTGATGGGATTGAAGACTGATAAGTCTCCAGGACCTGGTAATCTACATCCCAAAGTATGTAAGGAAGTGGCAGTAGAAATTGTGGATGCATTGGGGGTCATCGTCCAAGATTCTGTAGACACTAGAACAGTTCCTACAGATTAGAAGATAGCTAATGTAACTTCTCTATTTAAGAAGGGAGGCAGAAAGAAAGTCAGGAATTATATACCAGTCGGCCTGATGTGAGTAGTGGAGAAAATTCTAGAGTCCATTATAAACGAGTAATAGCTGAGCACTTAGAAAATAGTGGCAGGACTAGTGAGTCAGCATGGATTTATGGAAGGGTAATCATGCTTGAAAAATCTACTGGAATTTTTCAAGGATGTATCAAGCAGAGTTTTTGAAGGAGCCAGTGGATGGGGTGTATTTGGATTTTTCAAAGGCTTTCAACAAAGAACCACAGAAGACTTTTATGCGTAAAATTAAAGGACTGAGATTGGGGTCATTCATAAGATACAGAGGCATAATTGGGCCATTTGGCCCATCAAAGTCTGCTCTGCCATTCAATCATAGCTGATATGCTCCTCACCCCCATTTTCCTGCCTTCTCCCCATAGCCCTTCAAACCACAGCCAATTAAAAATCTGTCTAACTCCTCCTTAAATTTACTCACTGTCCCAGCATCCACCGCACTTTGGGATAGCAAATTCCACAGGTTCACAACCCTTTGGGAGAAGTAGTTTCGAAGTAGTTTCTCCTAAACTCAGTTTTAAATTTGCTACCCCTTATTGTAAGACTATGACCTCTAGTCCTGGAATGCCCCACAAGAGGAAGCATCTGCTCCACGTCTATTTTATCCATACCTTTTATCATCTTGAATACCTCAATTTGATCTCCCCTCATTCTTCTAAATTCCAGAGATTATAGGCCTAAACTGTTCAATCTCTCTTCATATGACAAACTCCTTACCTCTGGGATCAACCTAGTGAACCTCCTGTGAACTGCCTTCAATATCACTATATCTTCCCTCAAATAAGGGGACCAAAACTGTGCACAATACTCCAGGTGCGATCACACTGATGCCTTGTATAGTTGCAACAATACTTCCTTACCTTTATTTCTATTCCTTTAGCTATAAAGCCAACGTTCCATTTGCTTTCTTTAGTATATGCTGTACCTGCGTGCTAGTTTTTTGTGACTCATGTACGAGGACACCCAAATCCCTCTGCACCGGAGCACCCCGAAGTCTCTCCCCATTTAGATAATAGGTCGTCTTCTGATTTTTCTGACCAAAATGCATGACATCACACTTATCCAAGTCAAACTCCATCTGCCACATTTTGGCACACTCTCCTAACCTATATATATCCATTGCAATTTACCATCCCGTCTATTTTTGTGTTGTCTACAAATTTGGCTATAGAGCCTTCAAGCCCTGTATCCAAATAGTTAATGTAGATTGTATACAATTTGGGTCCAAGGCCTGAACCCTGCGGCACCCCACTGGTTACTTCTTGCCATCCAGAAAAAAAAAACCTATTTATCCTGACTCTGTCCATCAGCCAGTCACTTATCCAAGCTAAAAAATTACCCATAATCCCATATAATCCAATTTTGTGAATTAACCTTTTGTATGGTACCTTATTAAACGCCTTCTGGAAGTTCAGAGATATTATACCTACAGGATCCCCCTTATCCACTTTGCTTGTTACATCTTCAAAGAACTCTTGCAAATTAGTCAAACATGATTTACCCTTCATAAAACCACGCTTTTTGACTTTCCAAATGACCTGATATTACTTTCTTGATAATTGATTCTAACACTTTGTCAACAACAGATGTTAAACTAACTGGTCTGTAATTTCCCACATATTGCCTCCCTCCCTTTTTGAATAAGAGCGTTACATTAGCATTTTTCCAATCCACTGGAACCTTTCCTGTGTCCAGAGAATTTTGGAATATTGTAACCAATGGATCCACTATCTCAGCCGCCACTTCTGTTAATACCCTAGGATGTAGGCCACCAGACCCAGAGGACTTGTCTGCCTTCAATCCTAATAGTTTGCTGAGTACCTTTTCCTATTGATGTTAATTGTTCTAAGTTTTACCCTTTCTAATGCCTCTGACTTGCCTGTTTCACAATAGATTGGTACTATTGTCCTCCGATGTGAAAACTGAGGCAAAGTATTAATTTAGCATCTCTGCCATTTCAGTGTTCCCCACTATTAACTCTTCGGTTTCACCTCCCAAGGGACCAACATTCACCTTTAGCGACCTGCTTCCCTTTTACATACCTATAGAAGCATTTGCTGCCCTTTTTGTTATTTTGTGCAAGTTTTCTTTCATAACTTACCTTAGCTCTTTTCACTAATTTTTTAGTATCCTATTGTTTATTTTTCAAAGTTTCCCAATCCTCCTGCCTGCCATTGGCTTTTGCAATATGGTATATCTTAGTTTTGATTTTATATTATCCTTGACTGCCTTGTTTAGCCATGAATGTTTGTTTACCACCATCCCCACTCCCCACCCCCCCATCATCTTTCTTCCTCACTGGGATATATTTTATTGTGAGGAATTGAGGTCCTTAAACAACTGCTTGTCTGCTGTCTTGTACTGAGACAGGTAGTAAACTGGTTGAAGACAGGAAATAAAGAGTAGGAATAAATGTCTTTTTTTCTGAATGGCAGGCAGTGACTGGTGGGGTACTGCAAGGATCATTACTAGGACCTTAGCTATTCAGAATATACATTAATGATTTGGGTGAAGGAGCCAAATTTAATATCTCTAAATTTGCAAAAGCTGGGTAGGAAAGTGAGCTGTGCGGGGGATGCAGAGACATTTCAGTGTGATTTGGATAGGCAAATGTATGGTCAATGTAGCATAATGTGGATTAAGATGATATTATCCACTTTAGTAGGAAAAACGAGAGGCAGATAATTATGTGAATGGCTATAAATGAGAGACGGAAATATGCAACTAGACGTGGGTGTCCTTGTACACCAACTGCTGAAGGTAAGCATGCAGGTGCAAAAAGCATCAAAGAAGACAAAAGCTATGCTGGACTTCATAGCATGAGGACTTGAGTGTAGGAATTGGGATGCTGCAGTTATACAGGACCTTAGTGAGACCACACCTAGAATATTGTGTGCATTTTTGGTCTCCCTATCTGAGGAAGGATATTCTGGCTATTGAGGGGGTGCGAAGAAGTTTTACCAGACTGATTCCTGGGATGGCATAACTTATGTGAGGGGAGGTTAAATCAGTTAAAATTCTATTTACGGGAGTTCAGAAGAACGAAAGGGGATCTCATACAAAGCTATAAAATTCCAACAGGACTAGACAGGGTGGTTGCAGGATATGGGGTAAACCATACACATAGATCATAGATGATAGAACTATACAGCACGGAAACACTATTGAAATTAGGAGAAATTTCTTCACCCGGAGAATGGTGAGCCTGTGGAGTCTGCTACCGTAGAAAGCAGTCAAGGCCAAAACATTGTATGATTTCAAGGAGTTTGACATAGCACTTGGGACTAAAGGGATCACAGAATAGGGGGGAAAAGCAAGAACAGGCTACTGAGTTGGAAGATCAGCCATGATCATAACGAATGGCAGAGCAGGCTCAATGGGTTGAGTGGCGTACTCATGCTCCAATTTTCTATGTTTCTACATACGATCTAAAACATCACTCATTAACGCAAAGTGTCACATGAATTATTCCATCAGTCACCTACTGAAATCCTGGTATGAATTAAATATCATATTTACACAAACCATGCTGTGAATTTGAATATTATTGTGGTGCTACTGTTATTTGAAAGTAATAATCCAGAGGCATAGTTGGAAGATAAAGTGAGCGCAATCAAACATGTCCTGGATCCCATGTCTATACTGGAGCTTAGGTCTTTCCTTGGATTGGTAAATTATTACGGAAAGTTCATGCGTAACCAGGCCTCCATTCTGGCACTCTTACATCTGCAATTGAAAAAGGGTTAGCCTTGGAAATGGTCTCATAGCTAAGATGTAGTCTTTTAGGGAAGTGAAGCAGCTGTCATCATCCAAGGTGTTGGCACACTATGATCCCAAGCGAGATGTGATGTTGACATGCAACCCCTCCCCGTATGGTATTCGGGTAGCGATGGCTCAATGGAGAGGAATGCCCAACAGTGCATGCTTCCTGGACTTTGGCTGATGTAGAACACAATTATGCCCAGATAGAGAAGGAAAGTTTGGCTGTCATATTTGGAGTCAGAAAGTTCCTCCAATACCTTTACGTAAATTTGTAATAATACAAACCCCGACTACAGCTACTCAAAGAGGACAAAGGTGTGCCGCCCATAGCTCCAGGTCGAATTCAGTGGTAGGCTTTTATTCTAAATGGGTACAATTAGTGTTCCAACTTACATCTGGGAGGCCAAGTAGTAAATGTGGATGCCTTGAGCCGCCTCCTGCTGCCAGATACCCCACCAGTGATGCTGCCAGTGTAAGAGTTCATTCTGGTTTTAAACTTTCTGGAGACCCTTCCAGTCACCACTGACAATATCAGCCTGTGCAGCCACAAAAAGATCCCATCCTGGCAAAACTAAATAGGCTGGTGCTGATGGGGGAAAACAAAAGGCCCATCATAACCAGAATTGAAACCTTTCTGAACCCAACAAGGCCAGATCACTATAGAGGACAGCATTTTATTATGGTGAGCGAATAATTTCCTGAGCACTTCCTTAATGTGAATGGCTGGATAAACCCTGGACTTGGTTACACGTCACCTATGCCGGCCCTTTCATGGGCTCAATGTTCTTAGTCATTATGGACACTTAATCAAAGTGGTTGGACGTGCACAGAGTTCTTTCGTCAAACACAGGGATGATAAAAAAGCTAAGAGCATCTTTTACAATACATGGACTCCCAGAAGTGTTAGTTACAGACAATGGGGCGTTATTTACCAGCAGGGAATTTGAATATTTCCTGAACCCAAATGGCATTTGGCAATAAGACAGCTCCGTACCATCAGAAAGAGCAGTCCAAACTTTGAAGGCAGGCTTACAGAAACAGCCTACAGTTTCACTTGATACAAAGTGCCCCAGTTCTGTTTGATTCTCCCCTCATGCAACTCCAGGGAAAGCTCCAGCCGAGCTGCTAATGGGGAGAAGATTCCACATGAGATTAAATCTGATCTGCCCTGACTTGGGGATGGGTGAAATGGAATCAGGAATGCCAGTGCTGGACAGAAGACTCCTCTAAGTAACAGACACGGTTTACTTCAGGGGATGGAGTTTGGTGTCGAAACCACAGAAATGGCCCTGCATGGGTAAGCGACATGGTTGATGTGAGATCAGGTCCCGTGACATACAAAGTTTGGGTCGGTGAGGCTGTATTGCACAAGCATATGGACCACATGAAAGGTGCAAACTTGCAAACGGGGTGGCAGCAAAACATACCCAGCCCCTGAAAACAGCCAGAAAGGCTGTTGGAACCCGTGGGCTTCCCCCTCCGTCTAGAGTCGAAGAAACCTCAGAGTTTGAGTTGGACTGGGCGGATGTCACAGCCTTGAGGCCTTTACTGTGTGAGGAAAAGGATGAATTTCTTCTGAGATGCTCTGTACACAGGAGGTGGGCTATGGTCCAGTACATACCAACCATGTCAGAGGCTGAGTTGGAAGAACCAGACTTGGTGTGGAAGTGTCCCAGGAAAGGCTACATGAAAAAGTACAGGCCTATGTTCCCGGAGGAAAAGGATGTAGTGACTGTAATGAGGTCAGCGGGCTGGACTTCACAGAATATGAGTTCGCTGACTGGGGCTGTTAACCTGGTCCAATGAGGGATATAAACAGGAATGTCAGAGGTTCCGCTCACTCTGACAGCTGGCTCTGAGGAAACCGGCCCGGCGTCAAGTACTGTGCACATGTAAGTAAAGGGTGATCTGGTGATGCAATACCGGCCTCCGTGGAGTTATTTCAGTACAATGGCAGATTTCCTTCTCAGAGGACATCAGTGAACCAGATAGGTCTTCCTGACAATTGGCAATAAATTTCATGGACATCATTATAATCTAATTTCTATATCATTACTTAATTCAATTCCACCATCTGCCATGGCAGGACTTGAAGCCAGGTTCCCAGAACATTACCTGGGTCTTTGAATTAATAATCTAGCGAAAGTACCACTAGGCCTTCACCTACCCATAAATCCAGTTTGGACAAAAAAAAGTCCCAGGTGCTTTAATGTTAAAAAGGGAAAACTCCAGAAACAGAAAGCTGTGGAAAAACAACTTGGAGAAACCTTGTAAAGAGGTAAGTGAGATATGTTAGTTTGTTTAAGGGTCTCAGAAAAAGACATTGATCAAAGGAACAGCATCAAGAGAAAAGAGAAACAAGTTCAACTGTGTCCATGAGCATGAAAGAAGGAAATTTAAAGGAGAAACCAGGTGGCTCTTCACTGAGCATTCAGTATTTCTAATAAGAATGTTTCCCTAGTTCTTGTAGTTAGTGTTTTGTAAGGCAAAATACTGCGGATGCTTGAAATAAAAACAGAAAGTCCTGCAAAAACTCAGAAGACCTGGCAGCATCTGTGGAGAGAGAAATAGTGTCAATGTCTTGAGTCTGGTACGACTCTTCTTTGGAACTTTGAAATTTCAAAGAAAAGCCAGAGGACTCAATGTAAAACCATGTATTTATTTTGTAATTTGATTATACCATGGTGGTCAGTTACTGAACATATTCACAAACACTACAGGTCTGCCACATATCTAGAGACAGAAAGAGCTTTAATACTAACCTGTGAATCAATTTACCCAGAATCATTCACCCAGATCTCTCTGAATCAAGTGCTCTGCAACCTCTCACTATTTAGATAATATGCTTTGTTTTTATTCTATTTACTAAAATAGACAATTGAACACTCTTCCATATTATATTCCATTTGCCACTCACCAAATCTATCTACAAGGCAAATTCGCCATTGTCCCAGAGGACCACAGGGCTGCTCTCTCATTAAAGAGAGATAACTAGTGGTAGTTTCACCAGACGCTATATGCCTTTGTAGGCTCCTGAAGTCCTCTTCAAAACTCAATTTCCTACCTATCTTTGTGTCATCAGCAAATTTAGTGACTTGTACCATCCATCCTCTCATTCAAATCATTTATATAAACAAAAGGACAAAACTTAAGACACTGTATTTTAACGCATGTAACATTTGAAACAAAGTAGATGAATTAACTGAGACTAATTACAATCTTGAGGCCATGTATATATTCCCTCCTTTGTCCTCGAGTAGATATACCCTTTCCTTCGCTATCCTCTTGCTCCTTACATACATATAAAACACCTTTGGATTTTCCTTAATTCTGCTTGCCAAGGACATTTCATGGCGTGTTTAGCCTTCCTAACTCATTGTTGTCACGGAATTTTGTCAGAGATGAGGAGCAATTTCTTCTCAGAGAAGGTAGCGTGGAATTCTTTACTGCAGAGGGCTGTCAAGGTTGGGTTGCTAAGTATATTCAATGCAGAGATTAATCAGTAAGAGAATCAGGGGTTTGTAGGGAAAAGGCAGGAAAGTAGAGATGAGGATAATCAGATTAGCCATGATTTCATTGAATGGCAGAACACAGTAGACTTGATGGGCTAAATGGTCTCTGCTCCTAACTCTTATGGCCTTGAGAGAGAATCATGAACTAGGGGGTCATATTTTAAAAATAAAGGGTCACTCATTTAAGACAGTACATGAGAAAAATCTTTTCTGTCAGTGAGTTTAGAATCTTTGGATTTTCCTTCTTCAAAAGACAGTTGATGCAAAATCTTTAAACATATTAAAAGCAGAGGTAGATAGATTGTTAATTATCAAGGAGAAGAAAGATGATTGAGGATTTGCAGGAATGTGGAGTTGAGGTTACAATCAGATCAGCTGTGATCTTACTGAATGGTGGAGGATGTTTGAAGGGCCGAGTGACCTACTTTTGTTCCTTGGTTGTATGCTCAGTTACAAGTAGCAAAAGCTTCTGTCTTATAATCTCACATAGGCTGTAAAGCATTTTTCACTCCATCCAAATGAGCCAGAGATCTAAAATTATATATGACACTCTCTTGCTTACCTTGACAGCTTCCTCCCTGCAGATTTTGATACAATCCATGCTTTTCATGTAATACTCTCGATTCTTGACTTCCAGGAACTGGTAGAGACGCTCCATCAGCTGATTGGTTACTATTTGGAGACAGAACTTTTAGAACTTCTATTCACTTCTAGTGAAGTCTTTCTAATTGTGGACATAGAGACTCTACGATTTCATTCTTTCCAGGATAACTTCTGCTTCTTCCTTAAACAGTGCTCCAATCATCTCAATTTGTCATCACCCTTTTCCAACTAGTTGAACTTGTTCTTGCCTACAATCACTTCTCTTGATTCAACCCACTTTGTCCAGATTAATTGATGAATAGATCCAAGATATTCCTATCTTTTTGTGCATATGATCATCATAGAGATCTACAGTATAAAAGAAGGCCCTTTTGCCCATCAATTCCGGGGTGATCAAAAATACCACCTAACTCTTCTAATTCCATTTTCCAGTGTTTGGCCCATTGCCTTGTATGTCTTGTCATCGTAAGTGCGCATCTAAATACTTTTTAAGATGTTACGACTGTTTCTACCAATCCACCTTTATAGGCAGTGAGTTCCAGATTCCCACCACCCTCTGAGTGAAAAAAAAAACATTTCCTCACATCTTCGGTCATTGGAAAAGATTTCTTTCATCAGGGAAAAAGGTTTCTTCCTGTCTACCATGTCTATGTCCCTCATAATTTCACATACCTCAATCATGTCCCCTTTCAGTCTTCTCTGCTCTAAGAAAAACAAACCCAGTCTGTCCAATCTCTGGTCATAACTGAAACTCTCCAATCCAGGCAACATCTTTGTAAATCTCCTCTGCAACCTCTCTAGTGCTATCACATCGCTCCTATAATGTGGATTCCAGGCAATACAACACCCTACCTGTGGCCTCACCAATGTTTTATGCAGTCCCAGCATAACCTCCCTGCTCTTAATTTGTTCAAGTACTCAGACCAAACCATCTCCTACATCTCACCCCCAAAGTCCTCCTCTTCTTATTTTGTTGACTGATTTGGCTCTGCTACTTGATCTTGCTCAAGTCTTGAGAAGTTCATTAACTATTGTGAGAAATGAGTATACGTGGATTACCAGAAATGTAAAATGGAAGATTTGAACAATTCTTGGAGTGCAAAGGGTTTATCATGTGACTTCCTGTAACTCAAACATCAAACTTGCCATTATCTCTCTGCCTGTATACTCTGTGCCTATGCGCTTCCCTCCACTTCATCGGTCGAAGCAGCAGTGCTCCAAAAGCTTATAACCTGTGGGGCTATAACCTGGTATCGTGTGACTTTTGACTTTGTCCGCCCCAGTCCAATACCAGCACCTCCACATCAAATGTTCAAAGGTCAAAACCAACTACCGAGACCACATCTGGAGTACTGCATACAGTTTTGCTTCTCTTACTTGAGGAGGGTTATCATTGTATTAGAAACAGCTGAGAGGAGGTTCTCTGGATTGATTTTAGGGATGACAGGTTTGTCTTATGAAGACAGACTGAGCAGTTTGGGCCTATGCTCTCTAGAGTTTAGAAGAATGAGAGGAGATTTAATTGAAGTATATAAGCTATTAAAGTGGATTGACAAAGTAGATGTAGAGTGGATGATTCCCTTTGTCGGGGGGGAATGGAACAACAGGTCGTAGGTTTAGGATAAGGGGTAGCAAATTTAAAACTGAGATGAGGCGGAATTATTTTTCCTGAAAGGGTCATGAATTGATGGAATTCACTACCCTAAGTTGTGGTGGATGCTGGACAATGCATAAATTTAAAGAGAAGACTGATTTTTAATTTGAAACCGATTAAAGGGCTATGTAAAATGGGCAGGAAAGTGGGGTTGAGGCTGCAAAAAGATCAGCCATGATCGTATCAAATGGTGGACAGGCTTGAGGGGT